AAAACAGTAATAACCCCGCCCTGGAACCTCATCTCCCTCTCAACCAACTCCCTCGTCCCTTCCAACACTTCCTCCTTATACCGCTCCAAAATGCCCCCGGCATCCCGCCACATCCCCGACCCACTCAAACACTCCAAAAACCAACAAATGGGTCGAACGTCGACTTTCTCTCCTGCTTTACGACATCGCTTAATTTCTTCTTGAACGCCTCCGAAAGCCTTCATAGCGACCTTCATCCAATCTTCTTCCTCGCCCTTCTCCTTCTTGTCTCCGTCCTTCTCCTTCTTCCCAACCTCAGCCTTCTCCTTCTTCCCAACCCCGCCCTGAATAGCCTGCGCCGCAACCTTCAACAGCAGCGGTCCCGACTCTTTGGCATGTCCCGCAACCTGCCTCGCCCTCCCCACACCCCCCGCACTCAACAAAACCGACACCGCCAACGCGTAACTCCCATCATCAATAGGCCCCTCAATCTTCGTACTACAATACCTAAACCACGCGAACGCCGTTTCCGGGTCGTTAAGCCGCAACGCTAGACGCATAAGGATGTTCATCACGGGTGTCGTGATGCGGCAGGCGGGGCGTTTTTCATCTAATGGATGGGGTGGTTTGCGTTTCTGGCCGTCGGGGAGGAGATGGTCGGGAACGCGACAGGCAAAGTAATCTCGTGCCAACATAACACCTTCGCGGGCATGTGCGTCGTTCGGGGATCGTGTGCAGGCGAGGATGAGTCCGCCTATGATGTACTCATTCGGCGTCGGTTTTTTCGGAGTATAAGTCTTCTTCCCCTGCGTCTTCGGCAACGGTTTATACTCCCTAAACTCCTCCCAAACCCTCATAGCATACTCATACCCTTCCTCCCCACCCTTACTAGCACACATATTAATCATCGTCGCGAATGTTACGACATCCGGACTGAGGGGCCTCTCATCTTTCCGTCTCGCATTCCCCAAATCCTTATCCACAAGCCCTTCTAATTGCCATTGTTGGTGGACGGCTGTCATCATGGAGGTGTAGATTTGCCACGCCTTTTCCCATCCGCCTTCGGTGAGGGTTGCGGCGCAGACTTTCAGGAGCGCGTTGATGTGGTGGATTGTGCGGTTGGGGATGATGTCGTAGGTTGTTTCGGCGAGGGTTAGGCGGTAGCGGCGGCGGGTTGGGTCGGTGGATTTGGGAAGGGTGCCGCAGGCGGTTAGGATGGAGGTGTAGCCTTGAGGGGAGATGTGTTTGTTTTGGAGGGCCATCTAGGAAATAGGGGTGAGTGGGTGGGTGATGCGGAGTGAAGGGAAGAAAGGTTTAAAGAAGAAAGGTTTACCTGCTTGACAACAGTCTCGACATGTTCCACTAACCCTTTCCTCCCCAACGCAGCCAACAACTGTCCGTAAACTTCCGAGTTACTCGCCCCGATATGACGCTTGACTATTGCTATTGCTTCATCTGGTCGATCCTTCCTCACCAGTCCTTCTACGTGAGCTCCAAGTAGATACGGGTTTTCGAACCATTTCTCTCTCTCCTTCTTTGCTTGTTTCTCTCCACTCTTTGCAAAT